CAGGCTGGCATGACAGAGTCTCGCTCTGTCACCCAGTGGCGTGATCTTGGCTCACTGCAACCTCTGCCTCCCAGGTTCAAGCGATTCTCCTGCCTCAGTCTCCCGAGTAGCTGGGATTACAGGTGCCTGCCACCACGCCTGGCTAACCTTTTTGTACTTTTCTTTTCTTTTCTTTTTTTTTTTTTGAGACTGAGTTTCACTCTTGTTGCCCAGGCTGGAGTGCAATGGCGCAATCTTGGCTCACCACAACTTCTGCCTCCCAGGTTCAACTGATTTTCCTGCCTCAGCCTCTCAAGTAGCTGGGATTACAGGCATGTGCCACCATGCCTGGCTAATTTTTATATTTTTAATAGAGACAGGGTTTCTCCATGTTGGTCAGGCTGGTCTCGAACTGCCACCTCAGGTGATCTGCCCACCTCGGCCTCCCAAAGTGCTGGGATTGCAGGCGTGAGCCACCGCGCCCAGCCTACTTTTTAGTATTTTTTGTAGAGACAGGGTTTCATCATGTTGGCCAGGCTGGCTTCAAACTCCGAACCTCAAGTGATCCAACCGCCTCAGCCTCCCAAATATTGCTAGGATTACAGGAGTGAGCCACATGCCTGGCCTTATTAATTACTTATAATTAATTAATTATTTATTTATTTGAGACAGAGTCTAGCTCTGTTGCCAGGCTGGCTAGAGTGCTGATCCTGGCTCACTGCAACCTCTGCTTCCTGGGTTCAAGTGATTCTCTTGTCTCAGCTTCCATGTAGCTGGGACTACAGGCACATGCCACCATGCTCAGCTAATTTTTGTATTTTTAGTAGAGAAGGAGTTTCACCACGTTGGCCAGGATGGTCTCGATCTCTTGACCTCGTAATCCACCCACCTCGGCCTCCCAAAGTGCTGGGATTACAGGCGTGAGCCACCGCGCCCAGCCTACTTTTTTTTTTTTTTCCTGCGTTGGAGTCTCACTCTTATTGCCCAGGGGCTGGAGGACAGTGGCTCAGGTCACTGCAACCTCCACCTCCCAGGTTCAAGCTATTCTATTGCCTCAGCCTCCCCAGTAGCTAGGACTACAGGCACCTGCCACCACACCTGGTTAATTTTCTAATTTTTTTTTTGTATTTTTAGTAAAGATGGGGTTTCACCGTGTTAGCCAGGATGGTCTCGATCTCCTGACCTCATGATCCGCCCGCCTTGGCCTCCAAAAGTGCTGGGATTACAGGCTTGAGCCACCGCACCTGGCCCTAATCACATGCTTTCTAAGTAGGCCTCAGGCTTCCGCTTGTGGGCAGAGAACTTCTCTTGTTTATTTTAGCTTCTTCACAGATGTGTACCAGGTATCCACTAGGGGCTCAATAAATGTCGAATTAATGAATGTGTGAATAAACAAAAAATCACTAATCAGTAATTTTTTTTGAATGCTTATTTTTGAAAATGCACTTTAAGAGTAAATGTTTATTTTTTTTAAATAGAAAGAATAAGATCTAGTACTTGATAGTACAACAGGGTCACTATAGTCAATAATTAAATTATACACTTTAAAATAACTAAAAGTATAATTGAATTGTTTGTAATACAAAGGATAAATGCTTGAGAGGATGGATATCTCATTTTCCATGATGTAATTATTACACATTGCATGCCTGTATCAAAACATTTCATGTACCCCAAAATATATACACCTATTATGTACCCACAAAAAGTAAAAATAAAAAATTTTTAAAAAGTAAATGTTTTTAAAAATTACTTTTAAAAAGTAAACGTTTATTTCAAAAGCTCTTTAAGACACTGAGCCTAGACTGTAACACAATAGGTGCTCAATAAATGTTTTTTGAATAAATACCTAATACTCAGACATTGCAAGTACTTTCAATTTATTGTGACCTTGCAATCTGAGGCCCTTGTAACTCTGGAAGTAAAGAAAGCCACATGAATAGTGCCACAATAAACATACGTGTGCATGTGTCTTTATAGCAGCATGATTTATAATCCTTTGGGTATATACCCAGTAATGGGATGGCTGGGTCATA